TCAGCTTCCGCCTCCTCTGCCTTCAGTGCTGTGGGGGCATTGCTCGGCATTTGTGGACGAGGACTGCAAGGTTTCCTGAGTAAGATTTCCTGGACAAACCCAAACTGTGCCACGGCCACCCCCCGCTCTGCATTAAACAACCTGAAAATCCTTCAGCCAGAGAATTTCCAGATTTTGCAATCACCAAGGTCTGTGGGAAGACCGACCGGATTTCCTTCCCGTACTGCTGTTGTAAAATCCGGGGTGATGGAAAGGAAGGATGCTTGTCGGCAGCCAGGAATTGGGTAAGATGCCTTCTCCTCCTCCCTGCAAGAACCCCGACTCCAACCTCTTCCACCACCCCTCGCTCATAGATTACCTCCAGAGGAATCACTAAAACTCTTCCATCCAAACCCAAAACTGTTTAGCTTTGGCAAAGTAGTTTGGTTGGGGGGGGGGAGGTGTTGCACCATGCCCTGTCCCACCTGCAGATTACAAACCATACAACTGCAAAGTTTTCTCCAAAGAGTGAGGTTTTCCGCAGGTTCTGAGCACTCTGTATGGAAACCATGCCTTGTACGAATCACATGTGTGTACCTCCACAAAGCAAAATGCAGGGGTCATTCCGTAGAAAAAGAGGTGCAGGAGCTCATTTGCATAGCTCATTTGCATATGCCACACCCCCTGACAAAAGGCAGGCATGCAGGCATGCCTGGGGTCCCTGCCTCATCTTCTCAAGATCGGGCAGGGAACCCAGGCATGTTTAAGAAGAAGAAGAAGAGATTGGATTTATACCCTGCCCTTCACTACCCAGAGGAGTCTCAGAGTGGCTTACAAACTCCTTTCCCTTCCCCTCCCCACAACAGACACCCTGGGAGGCGGGTGGGGCTGAGAGAGCTCTTGACAGAAACTGCTCTTTTTCAAGGACAGCTCTTATCAGAGCTACGGCTTGCCCAAGCTCATCCAGCCAGGTGCAAGTGGAGGAGTGGGGAATCAAACCCGGTTCTCCCAGATTAGAGTCCGCACACTTAACCACGACACCGAACTGGTTTAAAATGCCTTTCTTTCCCTTCCCCATGGAGCATGTCTGCCCACCTCCCCTACCCCTCCCCAGCCAACCCGCCACGGCGGGCTGGCTAGAGAAGGCAGGGGAAGGGCGGGTAGGCAGACATGCCTGCGTCCCCTGCCCAATCTCCTCCAGGTGTCCCACGGCTGCAGGGCACCTGGAGACGATCGGACAGGGAAGCCAGGGCATTTAAATCCCCCCAGGTGGCGGGGGGCCCCCGCCCCTGGGCTCCTTACTGCTGGAGCACTGTTCTGGCGTGTTCTGGAAGGGAATGACCCCTGGAAATGTACACAAAGCGCACCTGTCACATACCACCGTCTACACACTGGTGACCCAAGAATTCCTGCACGGGACTGTTTCCTATTTTGGAATACCAGAGTGACGATGACCTATTTTGCATGCAGAAATACTGCAATGCTCAAAAGTGGCCCCACGGACTAGAAGCTTGGGTTCTTGTCTTATTTTTTAAAAATTATGATTCGTGCAATTCTGCCAGATTGTTGTTAACACCTCGAAAGCGACCCTTGCACGGACGTCGTCCTCAAAGGACAAGCAAGAACCACACAGCCTGTTGTCTTGGGGGTGTGGGGAAGCCAGGGGAACATTTGCACAGAAGGATACATTGCATAGGCCGCAAACTTCCAGCCTTGGAACTGGGCAGACACGGCCACGATGCCACCCGTCACGAGAACTACATGCGGCAGGGAGAGAAAGAACAGTCATTTCGTGGCCACGCGGTTTGCCTTTTCATCCTTACAAATAAAAACACCCGGATCCATTTGCTGGTTCTGTTTTTTCCTTGGATACACACACACAAGATCCCGTGTTTATTACTTATATCCCCCCTGTCCTCTCGCTGCAAAGTGGCATATAATACCAGTTAAAACATCTCGACCTAAACCAAAGATTATTTTCTAACCATGGGGGAAATGAGAAATCCCAAATGCACAAAAGCTCAAGCTGCTACTTATAGGTTTACTTTGCCTTGGTGAGAGACACGGGGATTCATCCAGCCTGCTCCAAAGCTCCTTGCCCAGGAAATTCTGCTCTTTGATCCCAATTAACTGGGGTTACTCAGGAATGAGGGCAAGGAACGTGGTGCATGTTTAGAGACACTCTTTTCTTCTTAGGTCAGATGTCCTAGAGCGGAGACCAGGAACTAAAATCCAGGCCTGGGGCCGAAGGCTCAGAATGAACCCTGAAATCTGCAAATTGATTTTATTGAAGATGAAGGAACACACTTGGAAAGAGGAGAGGAGGAAGCTCGGGTGATTGTTCCAGACAGCATTAAAGGCGAACACGTTTATCATCAGCCAGAAGCCACTTCGTTGGATGTCAGTGGCTGGAAATATATCTGTACCCACGACTGCAAAATGCAAAAGAGTGAAAGCAGAAGGACTGGCAATTCAGGGCACAGGAGTGTGATATTTTAGTGTTCAATGCCTGAGGAACCAGTGGGTTGTAACAGAAGGACGTGGAAGACCCTGCCAGTTCAAATTCCCCACTCCTCCATGAAGTTCATTCGGTGACTGTGAGCCAGTAAACACTGTCAGACCACCTCGCAGAGTTTTTGTAAGGATAAAATGCAGGAGGATGGACAGCATTAAAAGATGACAGGGAGACATCACAAATGAAACCACGGCCCTGTCAAAAGAAGAAGTCATCTGCTCAAGAAGGGTGTGGACCACTCCCACCTGCAGGCCAACTGGCAATGCCAGAGGAAGAGCCCACAACGTGTGGGGCCAGCCCCTCCCAGTCTCTGTCATGCCTGTCAAACTGGCATAGGAATGCCAGATCATAATAATATCCTAAGAGGAAATGCCGGTCGCCATTCCAGGATGGCTAGTTATTATTTCAGCCAAGCAAAGTTTGAGTCCCGTGGCCACCTTCAAGACCAACAAAATTTAGTTCTGGGCATAAGCTTTCATGTGCATGCACATTTCGAAAGTGGGAATCCACCCCCACCCACCCCGGAGGGGGTGCTGTCTGCACAAGAAACTGGAGTTGGCAGTTTTGGGAAGAATCATAGAGTTGGAAGGGACCTCCAGTGTCATCTAGTCCAACCCCCTGCACAAGGCAAGAAATTCACAAATGCCTCCCCCTCCACACCTGCAGTGTGGTTCCACTGCTGTTCCACGCCCAGAAGGCAACAAAAAAACCCCTCCAGGATTGCTTCCTGACCCCAGATTGGCAACCAGCACTTCCCTGGGCGTGTAAGAAAGGGCCACGAGAACTAAGCACTGAGGCAACCCTTCCTGCCCTCCGTCTCATGACCTGCCTAAGTTCACGAGAACTAAGCACTGAGGCAACCCTTCCTGCCCTCCGTCTCATGACCTGCCTCAGTTCACAGAATCCGCGCTGCTGTCAGATGGCCATCTAGCCTTTGCTTGAAAACCTCCAAAGAAGGAGAGCCCACCCCCTCCCGAGGAAGCCTGTTCCACTGAGAAACCACTCTAAGCGTCAGGAAGTTCTTCCTAATGTTTAGCAGAAAACTCTTCTGATTTAATTTCAACTCGCTGGTTCTGGTCCTACCTTCTCGGGCAACAGAAAACAACTCTGCACCATCCTCTATATGACAGCCCTTCAAATACTTGAAGATGGACATCCTATCACCTCTCAGTCATCTCCTCTCCAGGCCTATATACCCAGCTCCTTCAACCGTTCCTCACAGGACTTGGTCTCCAGACCCCTCACCATCTTCGTTGCTCTCCTCTGGACACGTTCCAGCTTGTCTATAGCCTTCTTAAATTGTGGTGCCCAGAATTGAACACAATACTCTAGCTGAGGCCTAACCAGAGCAGAGTAAAGCAATACTATCAATTCGTATGATCTGGACACTATACTTCTGCTGATATGGCCCGAAATTGCATTTGCCTTTTTAGCAACCACATCACACTGCTGACTCGTGTTCAGTGTGTGGTCTAAGACCCCTAGATCCTTTTCACACATACTACTGCCGAGACAAGTCTCCCCCAACCTATAATTATGCATTTGATTTTTCCTACCTAAATGCAGAACTTTACATTTATCCCCACTGAAATTCATTAATATTTTTTAGCCCAGTTTTCCAGCCTGTCAAGATCTTCTTGTATCCTGACTCTGGGCATGGAGACAGAGAAATTAAACAGGAGTTCGGTGACACCATAAAAACGGACAAGATTTCCCACAGCATAAACGTTCATGAGTCAGAGAACATCCGACACATGGGGGAATTTCAGACAGGTGATATCTCCCGGTAGGGAACCAGTTCTCAAACGGGTTCTGGTCTGTCATTTCAGACAGAACCCGTTTGAGAATCCGTTCCCTACCGGAATGTAACTGCCATTTCACACACAAAAGCTTCAGTCCCGTTTAGGAACCGGGACTGAAGCGTTTCACCTGTCAACTGCTTCTGAGTAGTCTTCAGTTCCCTCTCCCGGTTCGGATATGCTTTTTTTCCCGCCTTTTTTCGCCTGCGCGGGCGATCTCCGGCTGTTTTTTTTTTTTTGAACGTTCACTTTATAGCGCTATAACGTTATAGCGCTATAACAGAATAGCACTATATCAATCCCATTGGAATGCATGGAGTGTTTTGTTATACTGCTATAGCGCTATAGCTCGAACGTTTTTTTAAAAAAATCGATCACCCGCTCGGGAAGAAAACGGCGGGAAAACAAAGCGGTGCATGTCTGAAATGCCAAACCGCTTCTGAATCGGCTGGTTTCCGGTAGGGGCAAGCCATGTGTGAAATGGCAGCCCTGGACCGGTTCACCTCAAAACGGAAGAATACCGGCTTGAAACCGGGAGAAACTGGGTAATGTGAAATTCCACATGATTGGGGGGGGGGGATTCTAGTTGAGACTGGGGGTTGGAGTGCTCCAGATGTTCTTTTTTGGGGGGGGGACCAGATCTACTGCCTTGAAGGAGGCCCCTGTTGCCTTATATATTTGCAAATAAACCAGAGAAACTCTAAACCAGGGGTCCCCAACCTTTTTCAAGCCTGCAGGCAACTGTTGTAATTCTGACACGGTGTGGTGGCCACAACCACAAGACGGCTACTGCAGGAGGTGTGGCCTGCCATCCAATGGCTGCTGCAGCTTCCCTTCAATCACACAGCTTTGAGCTGAGGTGGCCGCTGCTGCTGAAGCAACTGTTTTGTTAAAAATCTACCCAGCCAAACAGATCTCCAAGGGCCAACCTTGATGGCCAAAAGCCCCACCCACTTAAAAACACTTGGTGGGCGCCATGTTGGAGACCCCTGTTATAAACATACCACGAGCCCCCACAAGCCATGAAATCCCTCTCACTTCACCATTTGGGGAGCGTGCCACACGATGTGGCGTTCGCACATTCCATTCAGTGCATTCCGAGCCTTTCACAGGCATTGACTCAGCTGTGCTTATAAGAGCCTCATGCGAAAGGCCTCTGTCATGGCCCCCGCGCATGGGAGACGGGGCAGGGAACTCAGACAGAGCGGCTTCCCAGCTGCCTGTGGCAGAAAGGAACTCTGAGCGGGGAACTTCCCATCTTGCGCGCTCAGCCGGCAGACCAGCTTTCGATCTCGCTTCCTTCACAGCTTCTGGTCCCCTGACAACAGACCACCCAGCTGGAAACCACCAAACCCTTTGGTGGCCAGACTCACAAGCTGACGGGGAGGAGGAACAAGAAGCGAAACCTGCCCACCGCCGCCTCCTGCTGCCAAGGTTAAACGGGGGGTGCAAATTGTCCTCATCTTCTTTGCCTGAGGTCCCTCTTCTAAAATAATGTACAACATGTAGACAGTGGAAAGAGAGACCCGTTCATCCCTGTCTCATAATAAACTTGGGGACAGCCAAGGAAATCGATGGGCCCTGAATTCAGGGCACACATAACGAAATTCTCCTTCAGGCAATGTGTGAACTTGTGGAAGTCCATTGGCCATGAGCCAAGGTGGCTTCCAAAAGGACTCAGACGTATTTCCAGAAGATGGATCCACCGCTGACTATTAGAAGAAGAGAAGAGACCAGATTTATACCCCGCCCTTCACTACTTGAAGGAGTCTCAGAGTGGTCTTACAATCTCCTTTCCCTTCCCCACAGCAGACACCCTGTGAGGGAGGTGGGGCTGAGAGAACTCTTTCGCGGACGGCCCTTGAGAGAACTGCTCTGAAAGAACTTAGGACTGACTCACGGTCACACCAGCAGCTGCATGTAGAGGAGTGGGGAATCAAAACCCGGTTCTCCCAGATTAGAGTCTGCGCTTCTAATCACTACACCAAACTGGCTCACTAGCCATATTAACTTAATACATTAGCCGTGCCAGTTTAATAGAACCTCCATGCTTAGAGGCAGTGTTCTTCTGAATGCCTACTGCCAGGAAAGGGGCAACAACAGAGGCAAGCTTTGCCCACTGTGACCCGCTTAGCAACTTCCAAGGGCCTCTAACGGAGAAAATTCTTGCTGGACTTGACGGAATCGCTGGTCTGGTCCCGCAGGGCTCTTCCTAAATTCCTCCCTCGGTTTGTTAGAATGCACTAACCCAGGTTAAGATTCCTGCGACCCTCAGAGAAAAGGGCCAGTTCTCCATCTCCAACGGCTCTGCCTTGGCCGGGGCCGCCTGTTTCCCTGGGTGGGATTCGCCCTTCTCAAGCGATTATGCGACGATCCCACCCACCAAGTCGTTCTTCCCGGCTGAAGCTGTCAAAAGCCATCCCGACCTCACTGGGTTCAGATCGCCAGAGGGAAGTCAGCTGCCCACCGGGGAAGCCTCCGTCAGAGAACCAGATGAACGCATTAGAGCACACTTGACCCCACGGGACCTCGAAGAGCAAACCCCGCAGGACTTAAAGGAGCCTGGCTAACATGATGCCCAACAGCGGGGCCTCGGAGGGACCTCAGAAATCCAATCCAATTAGAGGCACAGAGTTGGACTTCTGAAAGCAACCTATGGCCGAGCACTTAAACACCCCACACCACGACAAGCATAGCTGGCAGTTCCACGCAGTCTAGCACTCTGGTTCCTACAGAGAGCAACCTTATAGTTCCTAGAAGCCCACAGGCAGGTGGAGCGGAGCTGTGGTGTCTCTCCAGGTCTTTGCAGGTAGCCAGCTCCCTTAGCATGCAACCTGGCTGGCTTGCCTGAGCCGCCTGGCGCCATTAGCATGCACCGTTCTGCACCGCACCCGTGTCCTTCCTGCAAAACCTGCACCGACCCTAAAGGAAAAGGGTCCCCTTTTGGGGCACATCTGCTGCTGGTCAGAAGCAGGGAGACGCAGGGCGGTGGAGTGGACAGAGTGGTCGCTCGGCATCCCGGATGACCTGGGTTCGACTCCCCACCTCTGCCAAGGGAGCCTGCTGCATGGCCTTGGGCCTGTCCCAAGCCCTCCACCTGGCCCGCCTCGCAGGGCTGTCGTGGTGAGAAAGCAGAGGAAGGGGGAGCAATGCTCCAAAAAGCCACTTTGAGAAAAGCGGGAGATAAATGAAGTGGCTAGGACGGCTTTGCATCAGCTAGCTGGGAGGGGAGGGGAGGCTCTTCTGAGCGCCCACCTGGCGGGGGCTCCCGACTGGAGGGGGCTGATGGACCCGTTTGACACTCCAGGTGCCACAAGGGACCTGGCAAGTGGCAGCCCCCCAACAGCCCGTCTGCCGGACTCTTGGAGGGGAGGGGGCAGGCAGCTCCTCGGATCTGCAACGCTTCCTCTCCCTCCCCCCCATTTTTTGTGTGTTTCGCTCCTCTGACTTCCTTAATCTTTCGGGGAAGATTCGCTTCCTCCTCGGGGCGGGTCGGAGGGGAGGGAGGAAGGGGCACCGCCCGGTCCGAAGCCTCGAAACCCCGGGGGGACCCCTCCCTCTCCCCCCAACCGGGTTGCAAAAGAGAAACAGGGGGGGGGCAAGGCCTGGCTCCGTGCAAAAGCGCCCCCCCAACAGGACCCACCCGCCGCGGCAAGAAGGTCGCCACGTTGCCCGAGTCTCCCCCCCCCCAGAGCAAGCCGTCTGGGGGGGGGGCTTGGCAACGGG